AATTGAGCGGCGGTGGCTGGCCTAAGGGCCGGTGCGCAACAGCGCTCGCTGCCCCGTGGCTCCCCATGAGCTGGGGGCCCTCCCTCTGGGGGCCTACAAGGCAGGAAGCTAGCCAGCCAGAAGACTGGCGCTCCCTGCCCGTGGCTCCCTGTGCACTGGAAGCCCTCCTTCCGGGGGCCTACAAGGCCGGGAGTGAGCCGCCAGTCCGAAGACCAGCACTCCCCGCCCGAGGCTCCCCATGCGCTGGGGGCCCTCCCTCTGGGAGCCTACGAGGCAGGAAGCTAGCCAGCTGGAAGAATGGTGCTCCTATCTTAGTTCATTGAAAGAAAGATCTGTGCTAATATTGTCTGGACATTATTCATGCCTATATCTGTACTCTGAGCAACTACTATAGGATAACAAAGTGCAATGTGTCAATTATTGTAATACTCCTATTACCCTGATCTGAAACTCTGTTTTATTTCTGGTTTTCTTCTTTTTCTCTTTAAAATGAAAATTAAAAGGTGAAAAAATAAAGACATCCTATTTAATATATTATTGTTTTGTTAAAATACCATGTTAAATCATGACCAACAGCGTTCTAACTCAGTCCTGAATGAAGCTCACCTAACACATATCTCCATTTTAAACAGTGACATCATAACCATAAGCCCAAAAGTGTGAAAAATGTGGCACTAAATAGACTGCAAAAGGGACATGTGTTTAAAATGTGAGGCCAGCTGAGGATATAGCTCAGTGGCATAAGTGCCTACCTAGCAAGTGCAAGGTCCTGAGTTCGATTCCCAGTACAAAAAAAAAAAAAAGCGAGGCCAAAATAAGAAGGTATATCAGTGCCTTTTTGGACTTCAGTTATGAATGTGCAAGTCAGGTGACTCACACTTTTTTTGCCACTCTGCATGTGTTTCTGAATGACTAGAAAAGCATTGATTCTAGAGGGAAAAATATTAGCAAGTAGGTGAATTTGCAAATACAGGGTCTTTGTGAAATGAGGAAAGACTAGAAAATTTAAGATTATAGAAGGGAATCAACACGTCATTAATATTCATAAATATCAAAGAATAGGTAAAGATTTCCAGACTGAAATTGTTAAAAAATAGATTTCCACTTTTTGAAGATAAGTATAAAACATAAATTCATGGAATGATTGAAAACAAAAAGATGGAAGAAAGATGAGTAAAATGCAAATGAAAAAGAAAAGGTATATTTAGATTACTATCTGGTAATAAAAAGCTATAAAATTAAGATTTATTTTATGGAGAGACAGGTGGAAGGGTCATTAGATACTGATGAAAAGGTTTAGTTCACTAGGAATGCATTTACATTTACCTACATCAATAAAATCACAGTTTATAAACACTGATGTAATTACAGGCACAAATTGAGAATCTACGGTCATGTTAAGAGCCCTTGATACAATTTTCTCAATTAGTGATAGATCAATATGACAAATAATTAGAAAGTTTTAAAATATTTGAGCAGCATACTACCAAGATATGTATGGAGAACTCCAGCTCAACACTGAGATACTGCCCTGCCTCAGTATCGGAATGTAAACAACTGAGTAGCAGTTGTTTCAAAGAATATCTCTGGGTAATGCTTACTTTTCCTGGTCTTAGGGCATGCGGTATTAGAGAGACCTATGGAGATAATTGACCTTCTCAGCGTCTTCTGCCCAAGCTAAAGGTACATTCCTGGTTGACTGGCCATGCAGTAGAACACACTCTGCCATTGGGATGAAGAAGAATGTGAGTGAAGAGTTCTCAACCATGGAAATAGGGCCTGGGGCCAAGTGTGCTCCCAGTGGGGAAGAAGTAGGTAGCAGTGAGTCATAGTAGAATCCTGATGGGGCCTTGCCTGTAGCCCCTAAAGGTTGTAACTTAGAAAATCACACTGTTCTCTCAGCTTCATCTGTAAACGTTTCAGTTGCAAGATGCTCCTCAGTTTAATACAAAGAGCAACCTTTGCCATTTGGAAAAGTTGGACAAGAAGGTATGTTCTGGGTAGTATGGACATTTTCATGATATTAATGCCTTCAATACATGGACAGAGGATATCTTTTCATTTGCTTGTGTTTCCTTCAATGTCTTTCATCAAGGTTTTATAGTTTTTGGTGTATAGATCCTTAAGAGCTTTGGTAATGTTACTCATATATATTTTAATAATACAAATGAGATTATTCTTTTATTTCTTTTTCATATAGTTTGTTGTTAATCTATAGAAATGTTACTGATATTTATATTTTGTATCCTGCAACTTTATTAAATTTATCCATCAGTTCTATCGTTCTTTAGGGAGAATCACTAGGGTTTTCTATATTAAAATCATAGCATCAGCAAACAAACTATTTTATTTTTCCTTTCTTATTTTCCTTTTTTTTTGTCTTTTTGAGGCAGGGTCTCACTATGCAGTTCAGGCTGGCCTTGAGTTCACTTTATAGCCCAGGCTGTTCTTGAACTTGCAACGATTCTCCTGCCTCAGCTTCCCAAGAGCTGGGATTGCAGGCTTGAGCCACCACACCCAGCTTCCTTTCTCATTTTGATAACTTTATTTATTTATTTGCCTAATTGCTATGGCTAGGTCTTCCTATACTATGTTGAAAATGAGGTGAAAGTAACATTTTGTCTTATTTCTAATCTTCCAATTTTTCACTAATGAGTGTAATATTAGCTCTGAGATTGTCACATGTGGAGACATATGTATTCTTTTTTTTGAGACAGAGTCCCTCAGGCTCTCCTTAAACTCAGTATGCAGCCCAGGCTGGCCTAGAACTTATGAGATCCTCTTACCTCAGCCTCCCAAGTGCTGGCTTTACAGGGATGCACTACCATGGCAGCTCTAGGTGTTTATTATATCAAGATACATTCCTTCTATACCTAATTTGTTGAGTTATTTTAACCATAGAAAAGTATTGAATTTTGTCAAATGCTTTTCCTGTATCTCTTCAGATAACCTTGTGGTTTTCATCCTTTATTCTGTTAATATGTGCACCACATTTATTGATTTACATATGTAGAGCCATCCTTGAATCCCAGAACTAAATCCACTTGTTTTTGTAGATAAATAGTTGCCTTCTGAGACCATAATATGAAGTGAAATAAGTCAGACACACAAGTTTAAATATCATATGGTTTCTCTTGTATGAGAGAACATTGAATTGAGAGAGAAGAGAGAGAGAAATAGAAGGTAAATAGGAAATAGGGAGATATTTTTCAAATGAGTGGGGGAATAATAGATGGAGGAGCTAAGGGAAAGGGGATGGAAAAAAAATAATTGAAGAAAAAATTTAAATAGAGCTTTTGCAGGGAAGGGAACCAAGAGTTGGAAGGATCAGAGAGGAGGGGACAAAAGAAGAGTTAAGATGCATTATGCACATGTATCAACTCCCCATAGTAAGTGCAGTCATTATGTACTGCAAGCATACACTAACAAAACAAATAAATAATAAAAAATAAATCCCATTTATTTATGGTGAAGCTATTTTTTAAAAATTGTTTTATTTTTAAATTGACATATAAATTTATACTCACTTATGGGATGGAGTATTATAATTTGATACATGTACAAACTGAGTAATGATCAAATCAGGGTAAGTAGCATTTATATCTCAGATAATATTATCATTTCTGTCTGTTGAGAACCTTCAGACTTCTTTCTAGTTACTTTGAAATGTCTAAACAGTTGTAGACATTAGTCACTCTACTATGCTATAACTACTCCCCCAACAACTGTATTTTCATCTCATTATCCACCATTTCTCTTATCTTCCCTTTCCCTATCTTTCCTCACCTCTCATGACCTCTAGTCTACTCTTCTATGTGATCAACTTTTCTAGTTTTCACAAGTAAATGAGGTATTCGTCTTTCTGTATTTGGCTTATTTCACATAACACAGTGTCCTCCAATTTCAGCCATTTGCTGCAAATGACAGAGTTTCATCTTTTTATGGCTGAATAATATTCCACAGTGTATCTATACCACATCTTTTTAATCCGTTCATCCACCAGTGCACCTGTTAGTTGATTTCATAACTTGGCTATTGTGAATAGTGTTATAATGAACATAGACGGGCAGGTATATCTTTGATACCATGCTTTTATTTCCTCGGTTACATATCCCAGTAGTGCGATTGCTGAACCACATGATCTAATTTCAGGGTTTCTGTTTTGAATCTCCATACTGTTTCCTACAGGGACTACACTGATCCACATTCCCACTAAGTGTATACGAGTTCTCCTTTCTCCATATGCTTACTAACATCTTTTATTTTTGACTTTTTAATAATAGCTGTGAATAATACTTTATTTGTTTGTTTATTTTTTTAGTAGTGTATGTTATACAGAATAATGGGTTTCATTTTAGTATACTGATACATGCTTATAGCATACTTAGATCACTTCCACCCCCACATCCACCTTCTCCCTTGCCTCTCCCTCCCCTTGATTTCCTTCCTCTTCTCTAACAGTCTCCTTTTTTCCCCTTCTGGATTTCACAGATGAGGAAAAACATTGATATTTGTCTTTCTGAATCTAGCTTATTTCACTTAACATCATGATTTCTAGTTCCATCTATTTTCCAGGAAATGATTTGATTTTCTTTCTCTTTGTGGCTGAATAACTCTCATGTAAGAGTTTTAAATCCATTTATTAACTGACAGACACCTAGTTATTGTGAATTGCACCTATTATAGTAATTGTGAATTGCTGCACAATAAATATCAGTAAGAATGTGTAGCATGTTTATTTCAATATATACTGCTATATATTAAGTTATATACTTAGGAATGGTAAGATGGGAGCTCTATTTTTAGTTTTTTGAAGAACTTCTTTACTGACTTCCATGGTGGGTCTACTAATGTACATTTCTACCAACAATGTAGAGGAACTTCTCCTCACCCTACACCCCATTCTTGTTGGCATTTTTATTTTTTGTATTCTTCATGATAGCCATTCTGATTGGGGTGAGATGGAATCTCAGCGCAGTATTGATTTGCATTTCTCAAATGGCTAAATATATTGCACATTTCTTCATATAATTATTGGCTATTTTTACTTCTTCTCAGAAGTGTCTGTTTAGTTATTTTGCCCATTTACTGATCAGGGTTTTTTTGTTGTTTTTGTTTTCCTTGAGTTCTTTATATATTCTTTGTTGGGAAAGTAGCTGGCAAAGGATTTTTTCCCTTCTGTAGGCTTCCTCTTCATTCTGTTAGTTGTTTCCTTTGCTGTGCATAAGCCTTTTAATTTGATGATAAATTCCTGCCAATCAGGCTCAGGAACCAAGGATCTCACTAGGTTTGAAACTGTCTCAGGGGAGTTGGGAAAGAGAAAAAAATCTCCCCAGCAACATTCTAAGTGATTTATATATATTCTTAGCATTCCAGAAATGTAGGCTAAATATTTTCATCTATTGAAATAACACACAATCTTATTATTAGAAGAATAACTATATTAGAATAGCTAAAATAAAGACATTTACAATACCAAGTACTAGCAGGTATATGGAGCAGGTGGAACTCTCATATACTCCTAGAGAAAAGGAAAAATGGTACAGCCCCTTTTTGAAACAGTTTGGCAGTTTCTTATAAGCACACCCTTACCACATAATTCAGCAATCCTATTCCCTAGTATTTATATAAGAGAAGTATAAACTTCAACATTCAGACAAAAGCCCACAGGGAGATGTTTGTACTGGACTTATTCATAATTGCAACAACTCAAATGTCCATTACTGGTGAATGGATTACCAACCTGTTGTGTATCCATACAATGGACAACTCAGCAATGAAAAGGAAGTGAACAGCACAGAATGACATAAATGGATCTCAAATGTGTTATGTGAACAAAGTGTAGATGCTAATTTTTTAAGCGGCTATAACTGATTTAGTCAAAGCCACTCATTTTTCAGATGGGTAAACTGAGGTGAAAGTAGTTCATGTTGACGATGGAAAATGAACTTTAAACAAATTCTCTTCATCCCTAATGAAATTGTCATTTCTTCATCACCTTTGTGCCAATGAATTCCAGATCTATTCTAGTTCTGCAGCCCCATCTGCCACCCCACCCCCCGGAACAACTCCTCAATCATGTTTGTTTAATCCCACAAGATCTGTGTTTTGTATATAACCAGTGAAGCCCCTCCAATCAAAATAGATTAATTTTGTGTTAAATTTGCCAGTCTTAGCAAATAAAAATACAGATTGACAAGTAAAATTTGAATGTCTGATGAACAATGAATAATTTTTAACATAAATATGTTTATTATAGTGCATGGGAAACATATACTAAAAATTATCACTAGGGGCTGGGGATATAGCTCAGTGGAACAGCACCTGGCTGGTAAGTACAAGGTCCTGAGTTCAATTCCTGGTACCAAAAAAAATTATCACTAAACATCTTGTATTATGCTTGAAAATTTTGTTAATCTGTATTTCTCTCTCCACATTTATCCCAAGAGTTTTGCTTTCTACTGTCTACAGGCTTATTTGATAAAATAATGGACTAATAGGTACAACCAGGTTAAATTACAAACCAAAGAGATACCTTGATCAAAAGAATTTTAGGTACCCTAGAAGTCTTTCAGAGGATGTGAAGTGATGACATTCATAGTCTCTGATAGAGCCTCAAAAGCTAAAAAAAAAATGGGTACTACTTTTGGTACTCATGGTCTTATAATTTATCTCCTGTCTAAAATATATTAAGCACTGATTATATACCAGCTACCATGCTTTACTACAATAGTTTAATTAATTCTCATGTCTATGAGGAAGATGTTATTATTTCCTTTATGAAAAATGAAAGCTTAGTGAGGTTGAGACTGGCCCAAAACCACATAGCTGGGTGATTTTCTCTAGATCCAGAAATGAACTCAGCTCTAACTCCAAACACCGAATTTTCTACCGTTCTACACTGCTGCATTAAATCTTTATTCTTTTTCATCTTAATCCCCACGATAACAACAAATATACCAGGTTAGTTGCATTATTTCCATTTTCTAGATGAGGAAACTAAGGATCTAAGATAAGTGACCAAGTCAAGACCTAAACAAAGATCATTGGTTTGGGGTTATAATTTCCATTACTAAAGAGTCCAGGTACTATTGTAAAATTTGGGGAGAATATAGCATTAGAATGCTGAAAAAAGAGTGGTAGAAGACTAAACTGCTACAAATTTTTCCTGTTAGTTAATCACATAGTATGGTTTCAGAATGTTGAGTCTGGTTCTTGGTGAGGGAACCAAATATGTTGCACTTGGAGGACAAGTGCTCCTGCTGTGCCATCCTAGCAGTCCACTGGGATCACAAATTCAGATGAAAATTACAGGGACAAAGTTTAACAAAGGAACACATTTTATTTGTAAAGAGGGAAAGAAAAGATAACTAGCTACCCTGAAAAGAAACAATCAGAGTAAGGGGCTCTGAAAAGATGGAGAACCTTGGGCCCCTTGTTCCCTGTTGCTTTTGTGTGTGAGGGGAGTGACTCCACTCCTCCCTCCAACTTGCCAGAACTGGTTTGGTTTCTGGGCACCTCTGTCCATTGTCATTTCTTCCAGTATTCTGCATGCAACTTTCTGTTTTATTTTTTTTTTATTTTTTATTTTTTTTTAGTTGTCCTTGACCTTCCTTTTAAGGCCGTATCTTTGGGGTGGGTGGTTAGTTGGCAAGGAGGTAGCTTGTTCGTGGTTAGTACAGAATTGGCAAGGGGGGATGTGAATATCTATTATACTCTGTAATCACTCTAGAATGAATAATATAGTGACTCTAGAATGAATACACACACACACACACACACACACACAGAGGTTTGTATATATTAGTGCATAGCTGTGAGTACACACTGTGTTCAAGTTAGTCACTCCCCATTTGCTTCCCCTATATTTCACGGGAGGTGGGGGTGGACTATCATTTATGCACTTGACTTTCTCTCTGGATCCTGCCTGTCAGATTTTTTTGGCCTCTTGGTACAAGTCACAAGGCTATTTTGTGTCTTTCTTTATCTGGTTTTTCTCTCTTTTTCTACCCACATCCTTGACCTGTTTCCCAGGGATATTTCTCTAGTAAAGTTTGTTTTTAACTTCTTCTAGTCAGGATTAGCTAGAAGACCTAATGAGGCTCCTATTTATTTTTTTCATCCCCATACCCCTAACCATATAAGAAGCTCTGAACAAGACTCCCAAAAATATCTTCATGGCTTTCTCAGTGTCTGAAGTGTCACCAACGTAGATTACAAGCATATATTGGCATAAAATCTCTCCTTGACCCTTTCTTCCCACCTTTCTCTCTCGCACTCCTCTCACTGTTTTTGAAATGTGTTTACTCAAAGAGTTAATACAGTCAGACATTATTAGCTCTTCATCTTTTTATTTTTTTATTTTTTTATTTTTTATTTTAAAGAATAAAAGAAGGATAACATAATAATAGGGGGCACTTAGCAAATTACAGACAAAATGGTAGGAAATTATCATTAGCTCTTCATCTTACAAGAAAAAACATAGTGGGTCATGAAAACATGTAGAAGACGGGAGCTTGAGTGAGTGGGAGAAAACTGCTTATTGGGTTGTCTGGGAGTATCATAGATCCTAGGCTTGGATAGCCCCAGAAGGAATCAGAGGAATCACTTTGTTAACTCAAGGTCATCTAGGATCATTTTTGCTTTTGAGGTACCAAGACCCAGTAGGGTCTGACCAGGCCCTTCAGAAAATCTCATACTTCCTGTTTCTGTCTTCAGTGGGACAAAGAAAAGGTGCTCACTATATCTGAGCTTGCCGCAAGGTTGACTGTGAGCCAATCAACCTTGAAACTGTTCCCCCAAAATTCCTACAGGCATTCAGGCGTGACCTCTTACCTAGGAACAACACAGCAGGCAAGAGTCTGTGTAGGACAGTGCAGCAGCAGGAGCTTCCTGAAGTGAAAGTTCTAGGCCTGCCCTAACTCACTACCTGGCCTCAGATAAGTCCCTTGTACATTTTGGACCTCAGTTTTCCTATTTGTGAGCTTAGGGGATCTAAGGAATTCTCTTTGCACACACTTTGTGTCTCTTTCTGGATTGTGCTTAACTCCCGCCCCTCTTCTCCCACACAGGCACCTTCCTCTCCACCGCCTTGCCTTCTGGAGGAATATGACTTTGCTGATGCTTCTTTTCCTTTCTGTGGAGCAGACTTCTGCATCATATGGCAAGAAAATCAAACGTGGGTTCAGAGAAGCGGCAGCCATTCTTGTTTGGAGGTGTTCTTGGGGGCTTAGCATTAGACACAAAGCAAGGGCGAGTGTCAGTCAGAGGCACCATTATTGTGGATGGAGGGCCACAGAAAGCTACCCATCCTTACTGCCTTGGGTGTTCCAAGTCCTTCCCTTGCATGTTCCTCCCAAATTATTCCCCTAGCTTTTCCCGGTATGTGTCTTTCAGGTTTAGTTTTTAAAAATAGTTACAAATCACTGAACGTGAGTGTGAGAGGAGAGGATCTGTGAAGAAGCTGTTGCAATAGTTGAGAAGAGAGACGAGATGTGGTCAGGGGCAGATCTGAGGGAGAGATGGTAAAGAGGGAGAGAAGATGGGGTTTGGGAGGGAATATGAGTTTGAGTGAGGGATTCAAGAGATACAATTGATGAAAATCCATGATAGACAGGATGCTAGGGTGATGGAGAAGTGAGAAATAATCTCTGGATTCTAACAACAGATTGAAACGATATCAAATATCAAGATGGTGAATATAGAGTAAGGTGGGACCAGCTGGTTATAGGGAGACACTAGCTCTGTTTTAAACATATTAGAACAGAGGTGTTCGTGAGTGCCTGGGTGGTTCTTTCCTCAAGCAGTTGGACATGAGGATCTTTAGCTTTGAATAAAGGATGAGTGCGGCAGGAGTATGGGAGTCACAGTCAGAATAGTGGGAATGAATGTGATCTCCCAGGAAGTATGTGTCCAGCAATGTCAGGAGAAAGATGATCTCAGAACTCTGGGGAAGCCCTGGGGTGTGTGTATCAGCAAGACAGTGTGTACATAAGGTAAGGAGCTAAGAATATCTGGCCATGGAGGAGGGAAGGTTCTGACAGTGGGGAAAGGAGCCGCACTGACTGAAATTCAAGCCAAGGTTTAAATGTCTCCAGGAAGCAAGAGGGAGGCTGGAGTCACATCAGCAAAACGGCTCGGCTCCATAATTCCAAGGGTTCCCATTGGACGTCTCCTTACCCTTTTGAAGTTTGCCTATTTGATTTGCACAGACCTTGAGTCCTGGTTCCAAACAGTAGCTTCCACCTTGCTGCTCAGCTGCCTGCTTCAGGGTCACCAGGGTGACCCTGAAAAATGGATGTTCCGAGGCCATGCTTTCTAGAGAATCTGATTTAGTCCAGAGTCCATATTTTCTCAAAGATGCATAAATAATTTCAGCGTAAACACCATATGGAAAACTGTATATTCTTCACAGCAGAAGCCACCCTTGGAGGGTACATTAAGGGTGGTGTGAACAGTAAGAAGTATATAGTTGGAAAGTATTAAAAGTCTCAGCAGCCAGTCATTAGGGAAGATGCTGGGTTTCTGAAGCGAGCTCTGGATTGTACATCCCAGAGTTGTCTTTAATTCACTGTATTATCCTATCTCATCTCAATTTTTTCAACCGGTGAGATCAGAAGTTTGGTGCTCATGATAAATATGGTCATTTCAATTCTAAAGTTCTATAATTCCAAGGGTGAGTATTATCCCAAACCCTTATATCTCTCTGATTAGATTCCACCAGAGAGATACTCAATGTAGAGCCATGGAGTACTGTATTAGCTATTGGCTGCTGTGGGACAAATTATCCATAGGTGGGGAGTCTGGCATGATGCATTTGTTTCTGCTCAGATGCTCTTCGGGCTGAGACCTAAGTGTCAGCTGGGCTGCAGTTCTCATTTGGGACCCAGCTGCATCTTCCAAGTTCACTGCTTGCCAATGTAATCATTTCCTTACAATTTTAGGAAGGAAGGTCCTATTTTCTTACTGCCTATTAGCTCCTAGAGGCCACCCTCCCTTCTTGGCACATAGCCTGTACCCTATTCAAAGCTACCAATGGCAGGCGGGTAGCCTCTCACAGTTTGAGTGTCTCTGATCTCTTTTCGACCAACCAGAAGAATGTTCTGCTTTTAAAGAGCCCAAATGTTTTGGTCTGGCTCACTTGAATAATCTCTGTATTGAAAAGTCAATTTTGGACTTTAATTACATCTGCAAACGTCCTTCACAACAAGGCCTAGATTAATGTTTGATTCAACTAGAGGAGAGGAATCTTGGGAATGCTGCATTAGAATTCTTTCTACCATTATACTGAAATTAGGAAGCCATGGTTAAAAAAAAGGTGGGAAGAGCCCACATCTGTCAAGCTCTTGTCATGTTCCAGGCACTGTGAGGACAGAATTATGCCATTATCCTACTTAGTTCTTACAAGCAACCTTAAGCCCATTCTCATTTAACAGATGGGAAATTTACAACTCAAAGGAAAATCTTTCCCCAGTTTATTTAACTAGTTACAGTTGGAGTCAGGCTGCCAAGCCAGAGCTGACTGTTAACAATGCTCCTTACATCCTTCCATTTCTTCCCCTCTTAGAGATAACTCACACAGTTGAACTCAGATTTGTCTTGAGTTCACAAGACACAAGGTTCTGGCCTTCTATTTCCATGATGTTTCCACTGCTCCTTACCAGTTTCCCCTATTGACTAAGATGCTACAGACAGAGGAGTTAAGTATTAAAACATTAGGTTTCCAGTAGAGAGAGGAGTTCCTTAACTTAATGCAGAGATCTTGGTCTTTACATCATCCTCTACTTTGGAATCCAAGTAACTTTCTGTTACTACTATCTGGGCAGAAATTCCTGATTCAGATCCATCTAAATGGACCACAAGTGGCGCGACGGATGTGATCCTGAAATATAAGCAGAGCAAGAGCTGAGAATCAAAGGCAAAGGATAGGGCTGAGAGATTTTCACTGCTTTGCTATGGGAGAAGAACTGGAAATCTCATGAAATACGAGTTTGGGCATTTTTTTCTTGCAGAGAAACTAGGAGTGTGCCCCAGAGAGAGGCTCAACTGTACCAGTACACAGCTGAGCTTGTGCCGAAAGGATTTCGACTGTGCAGATTCCCTGAAGTGCTGCCTCTTTGCCTGTGAGGCAAAATGCATGGATCCATACCAAGGTAGTGGCATCCAGGCTGGGGACAGAGGCGACACCTGTATCACTTTTTTTCTCTTGGATGGCGGGACTGGGAGGCCAGAGCCCATGCGTTGTTCATTCTCCAATTTAACTCTCCACCCTCAACTATAAATCACACATCTAGGCCTGTTGAACATAAACTAGATAATATTGATGCTAATTTTGTTGGTCCAACATTTAATCATTCACAAATAATAAATCTTTTTTTGCATGCTCACTGTGTGTCAAGAGATGGTTGTGGGTACTGTGGGAAAATCAAACCTCAGTCAGTGTAGATGCTGGGGTCATTTTTGTACTCTTTGTCCTTAAGGAGGTTTACTGGCAACAGTAAATACTAGGCATCTAATACATATAAGGAACTGTGCATTTTATAGAGATTCATTCATTCATTTATTTATTTATTCAACAAATAGCTATTGTCAGTGTCCTTTGCCTAAAGACTACCAGGGACACACCTTCAGGTAGACAAGTTGAGCTTATTATTCATTCTGCCTTGAAGGAGGAAGAATATTCTGCATAGACAGTCATGAGGCATCTCAGAATGAAGCTTTAAAATCTATTAAAGGATTTGTCTTTGAGTAATTTGGGAAAGGGTCTAAAGAAGTGGGACTTATCATAGAGTAGGTACCGTTAGAAAGAAAAGACAATTCTATGGCCGAGTATCACAGTGCATCCTATTTACACAGAGAGCATGTAGAGTGAGGACAAAGCTGTAATTGGTAGTGAAGCCATCACTGATGTTAGCTGGAAGAGGGTATTTTTGAGTTTCATTATTAACTTGTTTTTGTATTACTTTATCATGGTCTTACCATGACCTTATGCAATGTGGATGTTCTGTAAGAATTCTTATATTCAACAGGGGAATGACATGGTTTAGTTGTGTCAGATGAGTTTTCAGACATCAGAAGATGCTTTTTTTGTACCAAGTGTTTTGTTAGGGACTTTGGATATAGTTTCTGAACAAGTTCTTCCTTCTTAATGCTCAAAGCAGTGGAGAAGAAAGGTCAGCTTCAAAGTCTTTGCATATGCTCTCGTAATATCCTTTGCAAGAAAAGAGGGATGCTATACAACATGAAATATGAGTGGTAGAGCTAGGATTAGAAGCTATCTCTTTTTTTTGGACTGGCTTTTTTCCCTAGGGTTTGAACAATAATGCCATGAACTAGGTCCCGACTTCATCTTTTTATCTCTATTCTTGTTCTGTTTTTGCTGTTTGATCTCAGAACCCTGCATGCTACCATTACAAACAGGAAACTGTCAGGAGAATTTGGATCGCTGGCATTTTGACTTTGAAGCATATGAATGCAAACCTTTCACATACAGCGGCTGCAGTGGGAATGCCAATAACTTCCTCAGCAGGGAACACTGCAGGGAGGCCTGCATGTTAGTTGGTAAGATTCATATTCCTGCCAGTCTAGGGGCCTCATTTGACTTGAAATAGACAGTATGGTTATAGTCTCAGCATTTGTGGTTGAACTTCCTTGATTCAAGCTCTGTCATTCATGAACTGGGACGTCTTAGGCAAGCTGTCCATCACATCAACATGTTGAGCATCACCCTGAGAACTCACCAAAGGATAAACATAGACAGACCAGCTCTGCAGTCCCATGGAGTAAGTGTAGACACTGTCAGTGGCAAACACTGTGGGGTGAAAGTGAAGATGATGGTACCCTTCAGTGTAGTGATGCTATCCTCTTACCTGGGTTACTAAGGCAGCCTACCAGGGGACTGGGGATTTAGCTCAGCGGCACAGTGCCTGCCCGGCAAGTGTGAGGTCATGAGTTCTATTCCCGGTACTGGAAAAAAAACCAAACAACAACAACAACAAAAAATAAATTAATAAAACAGCCTACCAAAAGATCTCCTGTTTCTATCTTTGCCTTCCTTTTATGATCTGTTGTCCACACAGTAAGTATAATGAACATTTCAAAGCATGAATCAAGTCATGTCACTCCTTTACTGAGAATACCTTAATGGCTTCATATTTTATTCAAAGTCAAACCAAACCCACTACAGTGCATTACAATGGTCTGTATAAATTTCACATAATTATTCCTACTTTATACAGAGAGAAACTGAAGTCATTTTCTAAGTGACAGGCCTTGGACTTTATGTTGAGACTTCAGAAATCACATGCAGCATTCTGTCTACTATATTCCATGATATGGTGAGATGCTTTATTCCACCACAGCCTCCTGGAGATGAATGGGGTAGGGTGAATCACATTGCATCAAGATACTCTAGCTTTAAAGAGAAGGAAAATATGTTTGAAAGATGATGGGGTGGGATTGGCTTTGAAAGAATTCACATCTGTTCTTGTTTTAGTCAAGAAAGGCCAGTGCCCACTCTTCCCTTATGATGCTCGAGTACACTGTCCATCACCCTGTAAGAGTGACATTGATTGCCTCCAGAATACAAAGTGCTGTGAATCCAGTTGTGGCTTTGTTTGTGCCAAGAGCTTGACAGGTAAGGACTAAGGATGTACTTCCCAGAGTCTCCCGGGCATATGCCAGGGATATGAGGACATCCTGTGAGATGGGGAGATGCGGGTATTTGAGTCTCAGTTGTCCCCTGGGTTGACCTTTGAGGTATCTTGGAAAACTTTCCCCTTTTAACACCTAATCAGTGCCGCTCCTGTTGGCCTCTTGACCTCTGGATCCTAATGCTGTCCTTCAAAGCCAGTTATGCATGGTATCACTCCATTCTTCCCCAAGAAAACTTACTTGTTCTGAATCCCACTCTTTTTTATTTAAAGAGAAAAATATAAAACAAAGTTTCAAAACAAGATAATAAGAGAGTAATAATGGTTAATATGTCGAATATTATCTTTAAATTAGTTACTCAGAGTACAAAATATAGGCATTTAATTGTCCAAAAAATGTTAGTACAAACCTTCCTTTTCAATGATCTAAGAGAAATTAGTGGTATAACTATTTTAATTATCACGTGTGTGTGTGTGTATGAAATGTGTATATATATATATATATATATATATGTATATATATAAAATACTTTTTTCCTTTACTTTCTGCCTTTTCTCCTTTCCCTCATCCCAGTTTCTCTTTCCTTTTGAACAGTTTCTTCTCATTTTATAATAGCTCTTGTACATTTTGGATCTTATATACTCTTTCAGCTTCTACACTAGGGAGACAACAAAGATGTTTGCACATGTGCATCTGGTTTACTTCACTTATGAGTATGGTCTTGAGTTGCATCCACTTATCTATAAAAGTTTCCAGTTTATCTTTCTTTATGGCTGAGTAGTACTCTATATATAAAAAGACCACATCTTTTTTATCCATTCTTTAACGACATGCAAAGTCGTTAAATGTACAATGTACACTGATTCACACACAAATTCTTAACCATTAGGTATATCCCTAATAGTTCACATTCTATAACATGGTGGGGAAAAGATTGTTGGCAAATGGTTTTGATGTGGAATCCAACTCTCCAGCTTCTAGGGTTGGAGTTATAAATTCCTTCATGTAGTCCCAGGGGCTGCCAACATTTTAAGGTACGGCATAGTACGTGACAAGGTCAAAGGTTTTTCAACTTGCTTCAACTTTTCCACTGGCTTTCTGTGTAGCTTTGGGCAAGATATTTCCACCTAGATGATCCTCACTTCCTACAGTTTATCAGATAAGGAAAATTTGGGTGGTCTTTAGTACTCTTTCCACCTCTGGTGAGTTATAACCCCAATCCACTAATTCTATAGTGGTAGGCAAGAATCCTGTTGGATTGCTCTAGATCCAGAATAGCAGAGGTGGTTTTTTGTTTGTTTGTTTGTGTGTTGATACTCCGTAACTTATTAACCATGCAGAGTTGATTCTGTGATTCTCGACTCTGCTGTTACAGTAGGGGGAAGGAAAGAGGCTTAATCAGAATAAAGCCAAATTTAAGTTTCCCAAGACTCCCCAAATCTGTCTCAGATATGTAAAGGTCATGTCTTATTTTACCTCATAAAGCCAAAGCAGGTTTTTGCCCTGTGGAAAAGAAATGTCCCAAGATTAATAGACCCCAGTGCATGGAAGATTTTGATTGTCCACAGGAAGAGAAATGCTGCTCATCTTGTGGGCTGAAGTGCATGCAACCTGCAGGACTAACAGTAAGTGGAAAATATTCTCCTAAAAATCATCGAGTGGTATAATAAAAAATCTACCAGTTTTCTTTGTGTTATATCTCACTACCTTGCTAAATTATTTTTCTAATTATGTAAATATTAGTGGGGTTATTGTGATTTTATATATAATTATACCTTAAATAATAATGAATTTGGGTCTTCTTTTTTCCAACCTCACTACTGCTTCTTTATCCTTTTTTATTTTGTGGAACTTCTGTAATAATATTGAACATAAAGGCAGTAGGGGCTGAGGTACGGCTTAGTGGTTAAGTATGTGGTTAGCATGTACAAGGCCCTGGTTTAATCCCAGCACTAAAAAATTAAAATTAAAAACAAAGCAATAGTATGAATTTGTGTTTTGTTCCTTATTTAAAATTCAGTGAATCCTGATGAACAAAACATATGTTGTTGGATTTGGGATGTTTCATTGCATTGGTTATTTCCTTTTTAACGTTATTTCCTATCCATTTATAGCTGCTACTAGAAATGACTGCTGAATTTAATCAAATATCTTTTAAGTATTTAATGACTTTTCTAATTTGTTGACACAATAACTTGTGTTATTTAATGTCATGTGTTAAACCATCTTGCATTTTCAGGAGAACCCTAACCTATTTGGTATTAATACACTGTGAGTCTTTTGTAAATAGTTTATTTAGAATTTTAACATCTATAGTCAAAAGAAAATTAGTCCATATTTTTTGTCAATTTTGTTCTTTGGGTCGTAACACTTTAAAAATTAACATGGGAAACTAAGTTGGAAAGCCTTTCTTCTATGATCTGACATTATAAGGTAATATATCAAATTTCTGTTCTTTGAAGGCTATATGAAGTTCCACTCCAAAGCATCTAAATCAGGTTCCTTATACAGTGGTTTATTTTAGTAATTTTTAGATATTTCATCTTATAGTCTGTGTAAGTTTTCTATCTCTGACTCTGTGAATTTTGGTCTTTTTCTAGTTTCCTAAAATTGATTATTTTTCTCTACTTTTTAAAATATAGTATTGTATAGCCATAGAAGTTATTCTTTACATAATTATCTTCATATCTTTAACACTGGTTAGTATTTTTACTCATACAGTCATCTTTCCAGACATGTGTCTACCCACCAACTGAAGGTACCCAATCCCTGTATGCTTATCCCTCCACTGACATGTCTTTCAACTTATCTGTTTGCCCATCATTCATTCATTCATCTATTGATGTACTTACTGTCTTTCTCATCAATTTTGTACTTTATGTCTAACCTTTAACCCACTGACCTATTATTTGCCTCTCTGTCTTTCATATATTTACAGGCATTTACAGACCCATTCTTTCATACATATCAACATACTTATCCATCATTTCCACACCCATCTCCTCTCCATCCACCCACCAACCCAGGTACCCACCATCCAATCCAAACTGCCTCCATCAATAGACCTACCCATGCCATCCCTAACTGTTGGAATTTCATCTTAGACATCCCCGGCAGGTGGGGCTATTAGGAGGTAGTGGAAACTTTAGGAATTAGAGGAATTAAGTGATTGGGAGTGTGTGTTGAAGGGTATATCGACTACAGCCTCTTCCTCTCTCTTTCTCAGCCATAATGAAGAAATCAGCTTTGGTTCACCATGCTCACTCTTCCATGATGTTTTCCTTTGCCACATACCCAAAGCAATGGGAGAAAGTAATGATGGGCTGAAATTGCTGGAACCATGAAACAAAATAAAATTTCCTCTTTATAAGATGACTGTCTCTGGTGCTTTTCACAGCAACAGAAAACCAACACACTGTGTTCAACCCAATCTACTTCATTTAGTCATTCATCTACCCATCCATAATCAGGGCATTCATGTGCACAAGTATCCATGCTTGCCTCACCTCCTCCCGGTCATCCACACACCTACCAACTCCTCCATCTACCTTGCTCATCTAGCAGTATGTAGTATTTATTCAGGGCCTTTTCATGTTCTAAGTACTAGGTTCTAGACATATTTAATGGACTTCAGAGCTTAGTTGGGATAACAAATATGCAATCCAGAAATTCAGTTAGAAGCGTTGGGAACAACACAAAAAAGCCAGTGGCAGGAAATCAGCCCATGTAATAGGTCCTGGTCTAATGAACAGGCAGGCACTTATGGGTAGAAACCAGTGTGTCTTGGTTCTCTTTGGAACCCTCATTCTTTTTTTTTTTTCTTTTTTCTTTGGAGATTATCAATAGTTGTTGTACTATACTTTGGTATCTTCAAAGTGGCTTCTAAAGAAAATAAATAGAGCTATACATGAGTGACCTATTGAAAAATCATTAACTATTC